AGACAGAAGCTATTGTCTGTGGCCTGGAGCAGGCCTCGCTTCTCTGCTAAAAGGGGTTTCAATTCTCAGCAAGGACAAAGCTTGCACTACACAATGCCCCATAGTTGGCATTTGTAGGCATATTTGCACACTGAACATCTGTGCTGTGTGCTGGTGGCTTTGCCCCACAGAGGTTCTGCCCCGAAGCTGCTGTAAGCTGCCTTGCCTCACCTTGCCCTGCCTCAGCCTTAGCAGGGGCTGCATGACTGGATGGCCAGGCTGGGGCACTTTCCCTGCATCCAAAGGATTTGCTTATTGCTGGGTAAATAAGGTCTCGGCCTTAGCCTCAAGGCTGGGCAGGAAGCATGAGGAGGTAAATCTTTCTACTACTTCCTGGTGTTCGTCTTTTCCTTTCTTCCTCTCTGCTGCACCTCTCCTCATTCTTCCCAAATCCTTCATGCAACCCTAAAGCTGCACATGGCCACAGCAGGCAGTCAGTCAGGAGGGAACAGTCTCTGTAGAAGGGGTCTCCTCATGCTGGGCTGCTTGCCATACCCCCTCTTTAGGCGAAACATGCGGGAGCTCTTGGATGCGCTAGGACTCACACAGTTGTCCTGAGCATTAAGAGCCCTATGTTGCCCTTTCAATGGTGGCACAGGTTAAAATACTATGTTTTAGCCAGGTGTAGTGGTGCATGTCTGTAATTTCAGCACTCTAGGAGACTGAGGAAAGAGGACTGCCAAGTTTGGGCTTAGCCTGAGTGATTTAGCAACTTAGTGAGAGCCTGTCTTAAAATTTTTAAAAAAGGGCCAGGATGTACTCAGTGCAAAGGCCCTTGGTTCAACACCCAGTACTAAAAACAAAACAAAACAAAAACTGCATCTTGTGCAGATGGCTGACCAGGGCTATCAGCCTGCACCTTTGAAGGTTAAAGGGAAGACAACACTGCACACACCCCCTAATGGCACTCCTTCTGTTCACATGTGCCATAAAAAGGTAAATAAGCAAAGGGGAGCAATTTGAAGAAAAACAGGAAGCAGCTGATTATGTGGAAGATCATGGTCTGGCTGGGTACAGAAATTTTGTCTTTAGAGTAGTAGTTCTAAATCTTTATCAAGTTGCCTATACTTTTAAGGGTCTAATGGGAGGTACAAATTCTCTCCCCAGAAAAAACATACATCATGGATGTGAATAATTTGCTTACAATCTCCATGCTTCTCTGAAACACCTTTTTACCACCCAGGACTACATGGGCCACGATGGCACAAGAATTCCTATTTTAGAAGCAAGTTCGAAGCAGTCATCATCAAAAGTCTCTTTAAAGGCAGCTAGAAAAGAAGCCTTAACTTCATTTTTTTTGGTACCGGGGATCGAACTCAGATCCTTGTGCTTGCAAGGCAGGCGTTGGAACCACTGCGCTAAATCCCAGGCCAGAAGCCTTAACGTCAAAGAAAGTCCCCCCACCATTGGAAATGCAGAGCTAACCTCATGTAGAAGAGTTGATGGCTCCTCAAGGACAGATTTTAGTTTACTGGGGGTGCACTTTTCTGCTGTAACAGCTGTATACCTATCATTTGTACTAATTTGCCATTCTCAGTCTAGGTGTGTGTGGAGGGAAGAATAATCCCTTCTGAATCAAAATCCACTGATCCAGCTGCAAGTGATTTAAACTCATCTCCAAAAGAATTTGGTCTTAAAAGATGAATTGTTTGCTTCTGTAAATATTTGTTTTGCTTCTTCCTGCTCTTCATGTCAGGGCAAATTGATAGTTTTCCTTATGAAAGCTGGTTTGGGGAAGCCAGGGAAGAGGGATATACAGTACCAGTACCATTGAGGACCAGCAGAAAGCTCCTACTGCACAACTAACAAATCCAAATTTCAGGAGCTCAGCATTGCAGTTTATCTCTTGCTCATGCAAAAAGCCAAGTTGCCTCTCCTTTGTCAGCTCGGCCTTCTAGGTCACTTCAGCTCTTCCACACTTTCACATCACTTACTCACACTGTCACCACAGCAAAGGAAAGAACAGCTGGAGAAATGACCACCAGCAGTTACATGCTCCCAACTGCACTTCTTGGATAAGCTGTCTCATAATGATACCTAATTTTGTGAAGACAGGGAAGCAAGATCCACCAGGGGGCCTCAAGGAAAATGAGAACCAAATGATGATAAAAGATGCAATGTCTGCTTCAGGGACTGAGACATGCTTGAACATGAGAATAAATTCTGAGGAATCTGTGTATCAAGATGTTTCTGTGAATGGAAAAACTACCTTCCCCTCCTTATATTTTAAAAAAGAGTAAGTCTTCTACTGCCTGCCATGATGGAATAACAGAAGCCAATTTACTCTTAACCCCTCCTTAAAGAGAAAACCTGACACAAGCTATGGAGAGTGTTTTCAGATATTAGACAACATGCAGTACAGGACTCTGATCACAGAAGAAAAACAAGCTGAGCTCCAAATTACTATGAGTGCAGTTCAGGTCCACTATGCAGAACAAATAGAGCTTGGTGGTTTCACTAGCTGAAGAGACAGATGGGAGCTAGGGAGGTCAACATGGCTAGGGTAGGGTACAGGAGAGGAGGCTACAGATAGAGCAAGCAAGTGTGTGAGCAAGTCCTTAGTCCAGTCATACTACTACAACAAAGCACTGTAAACTGAGTGAAATAAACAAGAGATATTTATTTCTCACTGTTCTGGAGCCTGGGAAGTCCAATACTAAAGACCAGCAGATGCAGCGTTTGGTGAGGGCAGGTTTCTAATAGCAACTTCTGGGTGTATTCTCACATGGGAGAAGGAGCAAACAAGCTCCCTCAGCCTCTTCAAGAAAGCAGAGGGTGTGTAGTGGGGAGAGAATGACTATGGGTCCTGGAGGGTGTAGAAGTCTCCTAGAGACTTGGGCTGCATGTTGTCAGAAGCACAAGGGTGATAAACCACTGAACATCCACTGGCAGGAAACACATTCCTGGAACTCATGCAGGGCTTGAAATAAGACACGAAGTCCCAGCTATGCTGTGAAGACATTACTATAGGGCATCTGATGGGATTTTTTGTTTTGTTTTTTTTTTGAGACAAAGTCCACTGTAGTTCAGGCTGGTCTTGAACTTACTATGTAGCCGAGGTAGCCTGAAACTCACAGTGATCCTCCTGCCTCAGCCATGCTCCGGCTCCTCTCTGTGCAAACAAAGCACTGTTGCATGCAGTACCTATGGGGTACAGTGGCCGAAACACCTATCAACTGTGGGAGGGGCTGACCCCTCAGCTGCGGCTCCTGGGGTTGGGCAACTAGTGTTACCTGACTGACAAATGGACCTAAGTTTTCTTCCACCATGTCTTTCCAAATCCTCATCTGCTATCTGTCCACTGTCAAGATTTTTATGTTAGGTTACCGTTTAACTGTCAATCATCTGTGATACCTGAAGGTTCATAAAATTAAAAATCAAACATCTATATATAAAAACTACCTTAAAGAGAGGTATATCTGCCACATCCCTAAAATTTTGCCACTTGAAGGAGAATCTTCCATGTATCACATCCAAATGGGTTATTTTTTATTTGTTCATTCTTTTTACTTTTCTAGGATCACAGCCCGCCACTGTCATCCTCTGTGTCCTGTGGCATCTCCTTTTCCACCTTCCTGGTCCCTTCCTCATACCAATTAAACACAACAGCTGGGAGGAGAACGCAGGGCATCCACATTTGTTTCCCACACTTGCGGATGGTTCTGATGTGCTTCCAGGACTGACAACAGGTCTAAGGGCTAAAATTATTAATTCACATCAGAAGAAATATGTTTTTGGGAAAAACTGATTACCTTGGTCATTTTTGGCAGCTTGAATAAGAAGCAAGTAACAACAACAGCAGCAAAACTCCCCAAACAAACAAAAAACAAAGAAAACAAAATCACACAAAAACACCAGAAGTATTTTGAAAAAGTGCTTTGAGAATTTACTGTACATTTTAAACAATTTATATGTTGACTTCTACATGCTCTTACATTTGTGTAAAATATTTATACATATTCTTTACAATTTGTACATACATTAAATGGCTGTATCATAAACACTGTTTTTTTGGATTTTATAAAAGAAAAATCAAGTGGGGAAAATTACTTATAAAACATTAACAAAAACCCGTGACACTGAAGAACAAGAAGTTCTCATACTTGTGTTCATTTGATTTTCTCATCTACTTATTTTTTGGTTTCACTTATGTATACTAGCCCAGACTTTCCATTTTCTACAATTATTACGTCAAGAAATGACAGAATATCAGGTTGCAAGGCAACGGTGGAAGGTGGAGCTGCAGTCTGCAGGATAAGACAGTGAGTGAGTGTTCTGATTTCAAGCGGACAGCTAGTTTCACTCTGTGCTACTAGCTGAAGTACCAGTGATCAGGAAACTACCTGAAGGTTAGGACACAGGGCAAGTACCACTCTTCCATTCTTCAGCACATAACCACACACAGTTCAGGACGCCACTCGTCTCAGTCCCTAAGCTTTCCTTCTTGGTGGAGGGGGACACACTAACCTCTGGTTTTCATCCTTTCAGAGAACACTGGCTGGTCTGCTGCTCTATACTGCAAACCAAGTGGCTGCCAGGCTACGCCCAGCACTTCTTTCGTCCAATGGACAGCTGAGGGAGGGGTGGGAAGGGTGGCAGCTTTGGGCATAGGAGTCAGGATGGCTACCTCCCCTTAGGAGGAATGCCAGATAAGTTTCTAAACAATCCTTCAACTTTCCTGACTTACTCTTTCTAGCACAGAACACATCTTACTTGGGATTAGGAAGAGTGCAAGGAAACTGCACTGTCTTCCTGTAGGAGCAGCAGGCAGTTGTGCCTGCGAAGCGACAGGCAATGGTCCACTTTTCACACTCCATGAGAGGTACAGGTGACCCGGGGGCCCCATTCTGCTTCCTCCCTCCTGTGATGTAAGCACCTGAGTTACAGCTACGCCAGTGAAGGGCGTGCAGGCCTTCCTAAACACAAAGGAACCCCAAAGGACTGAAAGAGTTATAAAAATATACAAACATATGTTTTTTATTCTGGCATATTTCATATTTTTAAGAAAGCAATTAGTAATTATCTGACATTGGGTAAGAACTAGAAGATCAAGGGTAACATATAAATTACAGTTTTTTGTAAAATATAAGTGGGGGAACCTTTAATTCTCCATTCAAAATTCTGATAAATTTAAGTACTTTCCAAAAATACAGACAATTTCCATTGGTTTAAATAATGAGTGGGAAATGAACATAAGAAGATCATCCCTAAATAACCAATTAACCAATGCATTTTAGCTGGTTCATAAAGAAAAGTTTTTTTCCAACTCATTTCTTTTTGGTTTTCTTTTCTTTTTTTTTTTTTTTTTAAATGATAGGAAAAAATAAACTTTGAATTGCATTGCCCCAAGTCAGAAAGAAGCACTTTGGAGATTTCTTCATGTTCCATTCTGTTCTACATAACTGGAAAGCGGCTGAGGGCCTGCCTCAGCTTTTCTGCAATCTGGTAAAAGAACAAAACAATTTTGAGATATTGCCTCCCTAATCACTCCATGGTCTTTTATTCTGGCACCCACTTGGCCTCTGCATGGGTGCTAGGCAGACCCCTCCACTGCAGCCTGGCCACCACCCGGGACCTGACTGCCTCCAGGAAGCCCTGCTCCAGTCCTCCGGCCCACATGGGCCACAGCTGGGCTTCTTCTCTGCGTCAGCTCCATTTTCAGACCAGCGGTTTATCAAGAGACTGGTGGTGGCTCTGTCTTTCACACCTCTCCAGAGTCCCTTTCTCTCTCGGACAAGTAGGAATGCTGAAGACCTCCCGTGAGGCCATGATTCCCTGAGTACACCCTGCCCTGTTACTGCATGCTATGTGGACAGGATGCACCTTTTTTACATCCTAACAGGGGACTGCAATTTTTTGTGTGCCTATGCCTCCCCCAAAGACACCAGGTGCTCCTTGAAGGCGCAGATATATTATCTATCCTGGGATCCCAAATACCTGGAGTAGGGGCTTAGCATGTAGGAGGTGCTCAATACAAATTTGCTCCATGAATAAATATGCAAAATTTGATAATATAAGGGTTACTCTGCTATAAAATTATGTCAGATCTAAAACCTGGCAACACAGTATCAGCCACTTACATTTATGCAAAGACAGTGATGAAATACATGGCTTTTTATTTTGAAATTACAATGTTATATAACCTACTTGGACTTGAAAATTTAACAAATCAACATTATCAGAATTTCAGGAGTTGCCCATCTAGTATTTTCTCAGAGACAAGTATAATCTGCTACATTTAGAATGCTGAAAGGGAAAGACCCATGGTGTGGATTTACAAGAAAGTATGCAGTTAGAACACAGGCCTGTGTTTGCAGAGGGAGAACACTGCTCGAGTTCTTCCCATAAGCACATCTCTCAAAACAACTCTGCAACTCATTCACAAATATTCATTAGCACACTAATTATGGTCCCCTTTTAAGAATCAGCTACCGGAGACCAGTGTTTTGGGCAGTGTGAAGCCCAAGGGTGACGTGCATAAATGTGAGCTGAGGGGTGACCTACCATCACCCCTGAATGCATGGAAGTGCCACGGATGGGAGATGTAGCACAGACTGAACAGGCCCCTGGCAGTCACGATAATGCTACAGACTTTTCTTCTGATGCCTGAGCTCCATTTATAAGATCTGTTTCCTACGCACTCTGTTAAGTAATTACTATGTGTGGTCATGAAAGTTTACGTTTTCACTATGGTTTTCTGAAGGATAATGTTGAAGGCTTTGCATTTTCTTCTGGTTTCCTTTGGAATACTACGAAACCTGGGTCACGAACAAAGGCTGCCTCTGGTTTCTTTCCCCAGCTGAGGACAGAGCCTCTGGGACAGCAGAATGACCTCGTCTCATTCAGCACTATCTCTGTGCACAGAGGCACAGAGGCCGTGAAGGAAGGGAAAGCCATACACTCGGGGCTTCCTCAGGTTTCAGAACAGCATCCTATGCCCCTTCCTCAAAAGAAGCCCTTTCTTTTTGGTACCGGAGATTGAACTCGGGGCCTTGTGCTTACAAAGCAGGCGGCGGACCCACTGAGCTAAATCCCCAACCAAAAGAAGCCCTTTCTAACCCAGTGTTACTCAAAAAGGAAAAGGTGGAAAGAATTAAAAGAGACTTTAGAAAAGCAAACTTTGTTAAAAATTTAACCTCCTCTGATTTATTACTTAGGATTAAGGAATACAGATGAACTTCATATAGCTGAAGTTATTTACCATGAACTCGCCTTCCTCTTGCAAGTGCAAGAGGCATGGAAGGGGTACTCACTTACCGTTTCATAAAAGTGCACTTGCTGCTCCAGGTACAGACGGATGACGCTATTGTAGTCATAGATCCGGTTACTATGAAAGTGATTCATCTCAGCTACAACAAAACCAAGGCAGCAGTCAGTTTCCCTTCAAGATTTCAAATGACAACAGCTGGTTTTTCTGCTTGATTGTGACCTAACCTTGCTTCCGAGCAGTGCCTGTTCTTGACATCTCATTTCATGCAGATGATAGAAAAACTCGATGGACAGTCAACAGCAAGCACTGGTTCCCAGTAAGTGGATGATGTTCACTGATCTGCATGTTAAATACTATGAATATCCTTCCTCCTCTGCCCAAGCAATGTGCCATCCACCCATGCATTAAAACACAGGAAATATCCCTTTGCTCATCCTGTTTGCTCAAACACATTCAAATCTCTAACCATTTTTTAACTATTATTTTCTTTTTACTAACAGTCAGACTATGCCTAAAATGATTCCTCTCAAAGTCGCTTTGCATTCCATAGTCCTGGGGCACAGAGATTGCTAAAAGCTGAACTATGAAATGTGACAGAGCCTTATGGTATTTGAGCATGATAAAAGGAGTCTTCATGAGATAAAAATAGATTTAATCAAGCCGTCAATGTATCAGGTATGTGTATGAAAAATTAAATATTACAGACTTATGTCAACACTGGCATCCTGTAGGCAAAGCGCTCATGATGGTATTTTTAATTGGCTCTTATTTATTTAACTGTTGTTCTCACTTGCATGTCTCTCCAGCAAGTGTGTGGGGGGAACTTAGAGGGAGGAGAAAAAGATCTCCACTAGCTCTACTCATAATGCTTTTTCTTACCTTGCAAAGCATAAGACATGGTGCCAACTCGCTTAACCATAGTCTGCTTGTCTTGTGGAGTGATTTTACTAGTTGCAACCAGCTTATCACTTTCTTTCACTTTTTCTATTGCTCCCTGTGGAATATAAAATGCAATGATATTAATAAGAAAGCAAAAAGTATTAGTCATTAGTTTAACAATACTAACATATTCTTTAACTCTCTTGCTACCAAACAGGAAAACAAATAAGATCACTGGAAAGCATCTAAATGTAACTTCCTTTAAGTATCTGGCAAGCCAAAAGGATTGAAAAACGTAACTAAGCCAAAGTTTACAGTTTTATTCTACAGAAAAAGAGAAAGCCAAACAACAGCACAATGTCCCCTAATATTTATAAGCCATTGGCATTTTAAGAGTGGCATGTAATAGGAAAATAGGCATTATTAGTAGGTTCAGAAGTCATGTAATTAGGTGCAGTATAATGTACACCCATTGTCTGTCTCTCCTTTTATGAAAGAGCATTTTATAGGCTGGTGCTTGAGCTGACTGTAAGGCTTAATTTTATTTTGGTTTTTGTAAAAGGCACTGAATCAATTTAAATTAAAATGGAAGTAACTGCAAAAACCTGTCAAACATTTCTCATTCCAGCATTATCATTCTTGCTTGTTATTTAGGGTTGTCTGGAAAGAAAAACTCTACCTCTAATTTTTTTTTGGGGGCACCAGGGATCAAACTTGGGACCTTGTGCTTGTGAAGCAGGTGGCGGAACAAACCATTGAGCTAAATCCTGAGCCTGGAAAGAAAAACTCTACACTCTGTGCATAAATTAGGCTCTATTCCTACAACTCTAATTCTGCTGACATACATTCCTAAGAGAAACTAACTGTTCAGTTTTATATTATTGGAAGTTGTTCAAAGGCTATGTACCTATGCTACCCCTTCATGAAACCTAAAATTATAGAGCAACACTCTGAAAATGCCCACATGGCAACATAGTTAAGATCACAGACCAGTCCTTTGCAGAGACTTTCCTAATAAACCCAAGGCCATCTCAGTAGAGTACCACACACCACAGTTGGTGAAATACTCATGACGGAGGTACTACACAGATTTTGAAAAGGGGAAAGAATAACTAACAAGAGTTAAACTGTGAGGACACCCCAAACCGATTTTCAAATTTAGCTTAAAAATCTTCCTTGTGGGAATTAGTTTCTTTATCATTGATAAAGATGAACATATAAAACAACATGGACAGCACTGTGCACATCTGAAACCAATCCACCTGCTGCCCTTTCTGTGAATGTCTATGGTCAAGTTACCTTGTGAGCACCGATGATATCCGGGAAGCAGCCAAGAAAGCCTTTATACTCATGGTTACATTCCATCAGGAAATGGAGATCTTTCTTTGGCTATAACAAGACACAGGCCGGTTGTTACTGGCAGAGGAATTCAGAAAATCAAGGTCAAGGAAACTAGTATATGAGAATTGTATTAACCAAATCCTCCATGAACTGAGTGCTAGGCATCCTGATTAGTTTTCTTAAAAGAAAACAATCCTCAGGACTATTATGCTCTGAATCATGGTTAGTAAAGAAAATGGTAACACATCATGTAATTTTTAGGCTGGTTTGTAAAATCAGGTATTTTGAAGTGGTCCAAAACATAACACTGTAGCAGACATCCCTGCCCTTAACTAGCGGGCTGAGTGGCACATGCTTCTTGATTTCCCTAATTCAGCTATACTGTTTTACATCAGGAGTCAGACAGAAGCCCTATATGACTCAAATGGACATGTCAGATAGCAGAGGTGGGCTAGTATTGCTCCTTTGGTAATGGCTGTCACTGAGGCCTAAGTCCTGGTCTGTGAAGTGGCAGGGCTCTGCTGAGTTACATGCAGCTGAGGTCAGCATGACCCCAATTAAAATCCTTTCCCCCGAATTATGGCTTCTCTCTGACCTGATGGTTTGCTTGCTAACTGCACCTGGTCCCAGGACCTGTTTGCTCTATCCAAGCAAGATAAGCAGGCTTACTCCTTTACAGCCCTGCCTGACACCATCGTGCCAGGTGTTTGGCAGTATTTCACTACATTCCTTCAAAGCATACCCTGCTGCCTATTCCTTCCCTGGTTGTATTCAATAAATACTCAACGTGCTTAGGGGCCTTTGTCTTTGTAGCCTAGAGCAACACCGATCAGTCCTAAGACTCAGTTTCTCTCTAAGTTTCGTTTCCTCTCTTTATTCTTTTTTTTTTTGGTACCGGGGATTGAACTCAGGTCCTTGCACTTACAAGGCAGGCAGTGGAACCACTGAGCTAAATCCCTGGCCCTCTGTCTTTATTCTTTAATTCACTTTGTGCTGTCTTGGCCCACAGGAGACCAGGACACACTGCTGGGGTTATGGTAATGTCCCCTTTTCTGTTCCTTAAATAACACTATGAGAAAAAAACCTTAATATTGTATGTTTACAAACAGGCAAATAAATTGTTACAATTTAATGTTTGGGTTTTACTACAGAATATAAAAATATTTTTAAAAACTTGGTAATTCTCTTAAGTGGCAACTTTAAAATTTTTCCATTTTTCAAGAAGTAATCTGAAATTTTTAAATTTAAAGATTTAAAATAACTTAGATAATAATTCCCCTTAAGGGAACTTATCTATAAAAAAAATGGAAATAAGGTTATGAAAGACTCCAATAAACAACAAAGATTTATCCTGGGCTGGAGAATATGGAAGATACATTTTTTATTTATTAGCTATTAAATCCTAAGAACCATACATGATAGGCATTGCCAAAGTCATTAACAGATGCAGAAAGGCAAAGCAGACTGACATTTTCTTGGGGGCATTATAATCCCTGATGGGCAGGAGCAGATCAGAGGTGTCAATACTGGAAGGCACTCATTTAGATCTCTCCTCTTCCTCTTTCTTATAGTAGGGATTGAACCTCAGGCCTCATGTATGCTAGGCAAGTGCTCTAGTGATGAGCTGTTATCTCTAGCCCTAGACTCCTTTCTTTTTTGGTTCTAGGGATCAAATCCAAGGCCGTAGGAGGGCTAAGCAGGGACTCTGACACTGAGCCACATCCCCAGCTTCATTTAGATTTTATTCTTTCTTTTTGTGGTACTATGGATTGAACCTATGACCTTACACTGAGCTATATCCCTAGTCATTCACTCACTCACGCATCTTTATTATACACACACACATTTTTTTAGACAGGGTCTAAGTGACCCAAGCTGGTCTTGAAATTGCAATCAGCATACCTCAGCCTTCCAGAGTGCTGGGTTACACATGTGTGCCACCACATCCAGCTTTAGTTTTTAATTTGAGACAAGTCTCACTAAATGCACAGGCTGGGCTTGAACTGGCAACCCTCTTTGTCTCAGCCTCCCAGAGTTGGTGGGACTATAGGTGTACACCACTATGCCTGGCCATTTAGCTTTCTTTTTTGGGGGGCAGGTATTGGAGATTGAACTCAGGACCTTTGTGGTGTCACTGAGCTAAATCCCTGGCCCCCATTTAGCTTTCTTGACAGCACATTTATCTATCTACTTTGACTTAACCTAAGAAACACTATTAGAAATACAATTAACAAAGACATAACCAACTGAAAAGAGGAAGACAGCTATTTGGATTTGTCTTAAAATAGGTTTTAAGTTCGTAGATCAGAAAGCATGAAATCTTAATTGAATGTGTAGATTAGTACCTGTTCTGCCACGAGACTGGCAATTTCTTCATAAGTCTTTCCAGCTTCTGTTATCGCATTATTGAGATCTGTTTCACCTGAAAAGATTACAGTTAGTACTGTCACTAATGCTCCAATTTTCTTTCATTGGCCAGTGGAAAGTTCTTCAAATCAGCACTGGTGTTCTTGCAGTGCCAGTGAGCCTGGCTCACTGTGGTGGGATGTGGTGTGGAGCTAGGAAATATTCCTGGCCATTGGATGGTGAACTGTTTCTAGTTCTTTTCAGTGAACAGAGCAAAGCACAGTGCATTTTTTGTTTTTTTGGTACTGGGGATTGAACTCAAGACTTTGTGTGTGCGAGGCAGGCAGCAGCACCATGGAGCTAAATCCCTGGCCCCACAGTGCATTTTTTAAAGAAAGAAAACACATAATGAGCTCATACTGATTTTTCCAACAAATTTAGGACTCTGGGAATTTCGTTTTAAAACTTGTATTTTAAAAATCTTAATTACTAACAAAGCTTTACCTTACACTATGTAAAAGTTTTAAAATACCAATACAATATTATATTATTAATTTTATGATTCATGAAAACAACTAAATTTCTTCTGCAGTCTTTCTGACCACTACTTTAAGGTGATCTTAGATAATTCCTCTCTAATTAGTTATACCCTCATCTTGAGGTATCATGTCATGTGCTTTATTTTGCTTTTGGTTATAAGGGACTCCCTCTCATTTTGATGTAAATATTTTCTAATAATTATGAAAAACATTCACGTTTCTAAAGTCAAATCTACAAAACAAGATATTATCAGAAGTCTACCTCTTCTTTTCCAAAGGTAATCCTTTAAAATTTAAAATTAGTATTTCAATATGATAGCCTATAAGAATATGGCATGTTTTGTGGGCTTGGCAGAGGTCATGTTAACAGTCTTAGTACTATTCCAATGTTAGCACACATACTGTTAAAAAAGCAGTGAAAGTGATATTTAAGTCGAGTGGAACACGCCGAATCAGCCTGCTACAGACAGGCAGGTCTGCGGAAGCCCTACCGAGGTCCTGAGTCGCGGGGAACACGCCCAATCAACCCCGGCAACAATCCACTGGACCCCCACCCCTGCTCCTCTGTACAGCCACCTGGTTCCACACTACAAAGACGCAGAGGATACCGGACCACCAGTCCACAGTACTGAGTCCTGCTGCTCCTGGCCCAGAGGTAGGGGCTTCTGAGCCACCGTCCCACTGCTCCTGGTCCAGAGGAAGGGGTCTCCTGGCCACCATCCCCCCCGCTGCTCCCAGCCCACAGGAAGGGGCTTTTGGGCCACCTTCTGTCCTGCTACTCCTGGCCAAGTGTCCCTCAGTAACAAGGCCACTTCTAGGCAAAGTTTTTGTCTGCCTGTGAGATCCTCAGGAGGTAGCAGGTAGGATAAGACACAAATGGCATGTTCTCTCTCAAATGTGGATGCTAAAAGAATTGATCTCAAAGTAGAAGAGAACGGAATAGTAGTAACTGGAGGTTAGGAAGGGTAGGAGGATAGAACAAGTTCAGGTAACAGGTATCAAAATAAATTAGATAGGAAAAACATCTATCATTGTGTATAACAATAGAGTAACTACAGTTCACAATAGCCTACTGTACATTTCATGAAGAACTAGAAGAGAGTGCTGGAAGGCTCCAAACATGAAGAAATGACAAGGAGATGGAAATGCTAATTACCCTGATTTTGTCATTAAACACTGTATGCATGCATTGAATTATTATTCTGTATCCACAGACAGGTATAATTATGATATAATAAAAAGAAAAAAATAATAAAAAATAAAGACATACCTTGATAACCGCTAGAACTAAACACTGTTGCTAAGCTCTGCAAGGCCTTTCCTATCTTTTGATATTCCTTAGGCAATGCTGAAAAAGAAAAAAAGAATAAATTGTTATTTAGCAAACTGAAGTAGGATTCAACTATTTTCTAGTGATTACTTTATAAGAAAAGACATTTGAGGCCGGGTATGGTGCTGCACACCTGTAATACCAGCACTCGGGAGGCTGAGGCAGGAGGATAGCTGAGTTCAAGGCCAGCCTGAACTACATAGTGAGACCCTATCTCAAACAAACAAACAAACAAAAACACATTTGAGGTGGTTAAAATAGACTATACTCTTTAATAAAGTACTGATATATAAAAAGTAAGTTGGGTTTTTTTGGTACCAGGGATCAAACTCAGGTCCTTGCGCTTGTGCAGCAGGCGGCGAAACCACTGAGCTAAATCCCCAGCCCTAAAAGTAAGTTTTTTCCCATTAATGAATTATTTAATCAACTGTTATTTATTTTTAATGGTAAATGCTATTATCAACCATCCCCACATTTTCATTTACCAAATGGAACAGAAATGAACTGAAACTCCCTTAGAAGATTTCTAGTTTACAAAGCACTTTCTTTTGTACTTGGTCTTCACAATAAACCCCTCTCTACTATAGAAAGACATCACATTTCTATGAGGAGGGTTGGTAAAATAAAGGCACAGATAAACCATGAGCCCAAAGTAATGTGCAAATCAATAACCAACTGACCCAAAATGGAAAGAACAAAGCCTGGCAGAAGCCACGGCAGTGGGGCTTTACAGGACCAGGAGAGAGGGGTGTTTTCTCATGAGTAAGATCAGATGACTCACTAACTGATTCCTAAGGTTCCATTCTAAGCACTACCTAAGGTGCTAAAATGCTAGGATTCTAGATCACTCTGGAGAACTGCCAGAGAAGTCTCCACGTGTCTTTGCATTTGCTCTGTACATAGTCCCCTCAAGTAGTGCCTTTCAAAAGAAACCACTGCTTGAGTCCAAGCTGAAAGTTAGCAGGACACCTGAATCCAAACTACATCTGCTCAGTTAACTTTAGTAATTAAATTACCCTTTTATGGCTTAGTTTTTGTCTCTCCCTAGGATTAAAGACACACACACCTTATACTTTACCACACGGTTTACACCTTAGAGATAAGGAAGGTTTAAAAAACTATTTTGTGAAAGAAGATACCCCTGAGTGAAATCCTAAACAAACTGCCTCAATCCCTTCTCATCCCAACTAGAGTAGCTTTATGTCAATATTCTTTATTTTATAAAATTGGCTTTATGGATTATATAGGGCATGAAAATGAACAGCCATCAGATGTAAAAGATTTAATTCTGTAAAAGAAATTATAATCCCAAACTGGGTGTGTGCAAGTCTAAAATCCCAGCACTTGGGAGTCTGAGGCAGGAGAATTGCTGTGAGTTTGAGGCCAACCAGGACTACACAGTGAGTTCAAGGCCAGCCTGAACTATATATACAGTGAGACCTTGTCTGAAACAAAACAAAGCAAAACAAACAAATAAAAAACCTACATTGGGTGTGGTTGAGCAAGCCTGTCATCCCAGCACTCTGAGAGGCTGAGGCAGGAAGACTGCAAGTTTGAGCTCTGACTGGGCAACTCAGTGACTTAACAAGACCAATAAAATAAAATAAAAAAAGGGCTGGGGGCTTAGCTCAGTGTGAAGGCCCTGGGTTCAATCTCCAGTGACGCAAATTTAAAAAAGTAATCCTGGATTTGTGGGAGAGCCTTAAAATTTTGAAGATTTGTACTCACTTTAAAAGGAAGTTTTCAAAGAATACACAGGCTTAAATGATTTATGATACCTTTGTAAGAGTTTATAACTAAAACTACTTCTGCAAATGAATTCCTTTATTTATATTTTGTAGAACAGTGTCACTTGGACACCTGACAGCGTTATGCCATCCTGGGCTATTTAACAACAAAGCTGCACAGTTCTGGGACAGAGGAAGTGGCTCAGCAGGGTGACAGTGCACATGCAAAGGACAAAGAGGGGACAAGTTCTCAGAGCCAGGGAAAGGGGAGCAGGTCATGGCTAATGTGCCATTCTCCCTCCACAATGGTCGGGTCTCTGACCCATCTAATATGTTTTCTACTAACTATACTATCTTTTCCTGAAAATTATAGCACATGTTACTAAATGGATAAAGATTAAAAAGTAAAACCCTAAGATTAAAAGCAATTGTGCAAGTATTCTTTAAACATAGGGGAAAAAAAGGTTAATTTTCCATAGATTATAAAATCCAAAGTGACAGGAATGTTTTTAGCTAACATGGTGTTTTTTAATGAGACTTCTTGGACTGGCTTTGCTAGTCAGTTTTCTATTGTTTAGCTAGGGTGGAGAAGTGAGGTCAGGCCAAGGGCTATGGGAGAGGCACCACTGTGGTTCACTTCTGTGTGAGGCAGGTCCCCCAGGAAGACCTCGCCACAAAGCCAGCCTGGAAGACGCCACTTACGCCCCGTGCAGCGTTTCCAGTGCTCCTGCCCCACGGTCAGCAGCTCCTTCACACCATCATCCATGGCCTTGGTGAATTTGCCCACAGCCTCGCACTTCTGTTCTCTGTAGGCAGAGAGAGCCGTCAGTCACACAAAGAAGACTATCTGTGTACTTGTTTTCCTGCATTAACAACTGCCCTTCAACTAAATCAATCTCAAAACAGGCTAGATTCTGGTTTTAAAAGAACTACTTAAAAATCTGCCATTTATATTTTAACTTTGCTTCCTTTTCTCAATTCCTTGTGAATGTTAACTAAAATTATTCTAAAGTAAAATTTTCACCTCAAATATCTTAACAGAAATTCAAAGGATGGTAATGGTAGCTTTTCCTTCATTCAAACAGGTATTTAATAAAACACAGGTAAAAACTAAGTGGGTCTGTACCATCTAGTATTCCTAAGATATGAACTCCTAAAAGGTATAAAAGAGTACTGACTGCAAAGACCACAGTATACTACTGAATGAGAAAAGGACCATTATAAAACACAATGTACAGGCTGGAGCGTGTAGCTTAGTGGTAGAACACGTGTGTGTGAAGCCCTGGGTTCAATTCCCAGGACCAACCAAAAAGAAAAAGAAAATTAAAAATAATTTTAAAAAATCAGAATGTATAGTGTGAGGTTACTTTTATTTAAACAGCTCATTTTCCAATAGCTATATATAGAAGAAGATTTTAAAGACTATATACCCACAGCATTAACACTGATTTTTTTATTCCTCTGAGTAACTGGAAGACTATTATATATGGGTTTGTGTGGTTTTTTTTCCCTGTATTTTTGGAAACATACAACCAATGATTTCATAAGAAAAGTTTCTTAAAACTAAAAAATTCCAAGATTTCCTATTAGTTCTTGTATAATAACCACTTCAAAATTATAACTGAACCTGTATTAAAGAGTAAATGACTAAAAACAGATTTAAAAACAGAGCAGGTTAGAAACTGCTTACTTCAAAGCAGTGCTCAAAAGATTTTGGCTTTGCTGGGTACGACGCGGGTGTTATGGCTCTCTGCCACTTTGTCTCACCCACCTTTATTGGAACCAACACTGTGTCAACTATGAAATTACTGACTTCAAGGTAAAGAGAAAGCAGATCTTAATCTGATGTTATGGTTAAAAGATGTTACTTCCATGTACACACGGTGTTTTCTTTGTCATCTGCCTGCAAACCACACTCATTTCATTTCATAAGTTCTCGTCTGACAATGTGAATTCCAGCTGCAGCTATCCTGGCCCAGACTGCCAGCCAAAGGGTGTGGATGCATGCTGAGAAGGAAAGTTTGGAAATGTCTCTTACATTTCTATTAAGTCCAAGTCAGGTGCCTCTGGTTCCATGGTGGAAAATATCATAACTCCCACCACCTCATCTTTCTCAGCCTTTCTCTTTCCAGTTTTCCATTCCTGTAAATGACAACAATAGTATAATGTTAAAGTAGACAACAGAAGCAGAATCAAACTGGTCTTCCAAATTCCCAGAGTCAGCTCCCAATTACTATTTTGTTACTTTCGTGAATTGGCAAAGAACGCCACAGTATGCATGTATTGTGCCTGGTTTCTTTTGCTTAATCTATATTCACACTGCTGTGCAGCTGTAGCTCACTCATTTCACTGCTGTATAGTATTCCCTACTTTATTTAACTATTCTCCTAGTGGTAGCCACTCCTATTAAGTTATGTCTATTCATAACTCTATTGTTGTGATGCATGTGTCTTCTGGTGGACATGTACTGAATTTCTCTCCAGCACACATCCTGGAGTAAAGATGCTGGGTTCTATGACTGTGTTCAACTTCTATAGCTAATGCCAGACTGTTTTCCAACCTGGTCTTATTGATTTCTACCCCGACCAGCAAAGTGGTTGTCCTGGCAGCATCTTACTTCTCCAAGAAGACATTTGGCATGGTCATTCTTATTTTAGCAAATCTTCGGAGTGATGAGTGGTAATCATCTAGTAAGTTTTAATTTGCATTTTCTTGATTGTTAGTGAAATTGGTATTGTACTTTTCTGTTAGTGGTTCAGACACCTTTTCTGAATTACATTATCAAGTTTCCTACTGGACGACTGGGCTGATTATTTTTCTTATCATTTATATGGGTTTTCATATATTCTCACACCTAGCCCTTTGTCATTTATATTACAAATATTTTCTACTCAGTAGATTTTCACTTTTAATGGCACTTCTGATAAACATAAGTTCTTACTTTTAGTGTAGTCTAACATCCATGTCCTTCTGTATGGCCAGTCTTTTTCATATCTTATTTCAGAAATCCTTCCCCTATGCTAGGGGTATAAAGATATTCTCCTAGGTCAACTTCTAGAAAGCTCACTGTGTTGCTTTTTCTTACCACATTTATATCTCTGAACCATATAGAATTAGTTTTTTAAAAAACTGTTTTACAATGGAAACTTTCAATAGAAAATTATAATAATTCTCCAGACTTGGCTTCAACTATTTTGTTAATCTTTTAAAAAAATATCAGTTTTATAAGATACATGAACATTATTTATGTGTAATTTCACGTGATGCAGTTTCCATAGTGATTTATTTAGTCTACATACTTTCCAAGACCATCACCATCTCTAAATAAATAATCTCTGAATATTACTAAAGAAGTAATCCTTTTTAGCTAGGCATGGTGGTGTATGTCTGTAATCCTGGATACTCAGAAGGCTAGGGCAGAAGGACCCTAAGTTTGAGGCCAGCCTGGGGCAATTTAGAAGACTCTACTGAGAGAGACAGAGACAGAGAGACAGGGACAGAGAGAGAGAGGGAGATGGAAATAACCCTTGTCATCCACAACTTCTTTGGTGCTTGTTTCCACATGACATAGTCAAAGACCACCGGAGGGACAAAGAACAAACTCCTGAGCCTTTAACTTATTACTCATCAAAAGCATGATTTCTGTTTTCTTCTGAGGCAGTCAGGGACTTAAAAGTGGTTTTTGCTAAGAACTGTGATTTTTTTTTCATGTGGACTGTTAGGGTTTATATCTAAAATGTCTACTAAAGCCTCAGGCACTCCAAGGTAGGGGTTTTGTGAGTGGGTGGATCATGGGTGTACAATATTGGATCAAGGATGTGATAAGTAGATTAGTCTACTGATTGGTTTAGCATAGATCTGGATGTGGATAATGGGAAGGCCTACCCTGGGTGTGGGTGGCATAATCCAATAGGTTTGCAGCCTGGATGACATAAAAACAAAAGGGAGGCTCCCTGCTGCTGCTGCTGCTGCTGCTTCCTGCTTGCCACAACATGAACTGTTTCTCCTCTGCCATGCTGCCCTCCCTTGGAGCCAGCCGACTATGGACTGAAACTTGTACAAACTGTACAAGCTAAATTAAACCGTTACTCCTCTGACTTGTGGGTATCAGGTATTTTGTTCCAGCAGGGAGAAAAGTAAGCAAGATATGGGCCTATAAATGCCTAATAGGTAACTTAAAGTACAATAAAGCTTAGTCTTCATTTTGTGAAACTGTGGGTCAAATCCTTTTCAGTTCTGCATGTAAGCATATTGTCACTTAGGGAGTATTATGTCTAAAAGTTGGCAAAACAAGGGCTATTAGACCTAAATTTACCTAGCCCACCTCATTACTCTTCAAGACAGAAGATGCCAGGATAAGAGATTTACTGACATTCAGCTTTGCCCAGAATCTCCAAGGCCCTAAACTCATAGTCACCCTGGATTCCAGCACAGCCTCACATGACTAAAATTGCCTCTCCAAGCAAGAGGATTCCTCACATGGGAACCAAACTGCCCTTCAAGTCAGGAGCATTCAATCCGAGGTACAAAATGAGGATGGAAAATAGCTAATTAGATCCTGGCTCACCTCAGCTAATCCTTAAAACCTGACTTGCTTTTATGGACAGGCCACTTTGAACCCCTACATCAGAGTGTGGCCCTCCAGCTACTCAAGTGGGCATACTTTCCCTATACACTCTCAGATACCTTGTTAAAGGACCAGACTGATCTTTGTCAGAACTGTGCTCCCCTGTATTTTCTCAAACTTTTAATCAAAGCTTTTTTCTTATAAATTTATGCTTTAGTTTTAATATCCTTTATCACTAAAGCAAGGAGCTATGCTAGCTGGTGACACATTATAGGGGAAAAATTTTATTTCCAACTTTCTTGCTAACTGGTTAAATCTCTTCCATTTTAGCCTTTAGAGTCTTATCCAACAGCTGCTACTGTTGCTTCCAATATTTTTCCTTGAAAATTTTCTAGAATCACATGTCTCCTTTGGTTATAATGTCAGCTGCCCTCCCCTTCCACTGATATTCAAAGAGCAGAAGGCATTGTCAGACTCTGGTCTTGCTATGCCTGCCACAGTGCAGAGAGCCTGCAGCTGGTCTTGAACTTGGCCTCAGGACTGTGAACATGGGAGAAGCTGCCTGGAGCGCTGGCCCCTGGCCCTCATGTGGGTGGCTGATCTTGTTCTAAAATAGCTACTCTCTTCCATTCTACTGACTCCCTGTACTTTTTCTCCTTATTTTAAAGGAAATCTCAGACATAATATGGTTTTCCCTGTAAATACTTCATTATGTGTCTTTAACAGGTAAGGCTGTTTTAAAAAATATAACCGCATTTCCCTTGTGATCCCTCAAACGGGCCAGTATCATATATGAAAGACTACTCCTTCCCTTCACTGCTACTCTACTCTGTTCTTCTGATCTATTTCTGTTCTTTATGCCAACATACACTTTTCACACTATTTTAGTTCTACAGTGAGTTTTGATATCCAGTACAGTCATCCTGCTTCTTTTTCTTCCAAGAGCATCTTGGCTACTCCTAGAACTTTGATTTTTATTGTTTTTCAATCCATAGCAGAAAATTTATTTAGGTCTTCTGTTAATATTTCATAGCTTTCAATGTAGATCTAGTGTACATTTTCTTGTGTTTACTCCTAGATATTTGATACTTTTGATGTTATTATAAATGATAGCATTTTAAAACTTACAATTTCTGTTTATTGCTGAAAACCATGGAATTTATTATATCCAGCTACCTTAATAACCATTTATTTCTAGTAATTTCTATGCAAATTCTTTGGGATTTTCTATGTTTATCATTATACTTATTACTAATAATCGAAGAATGATAGTTTCTATAGTTTTACATTGCCATTTAGCTTGTGAGGAAATTGGCCCAAAGAGAACAAATGTTTTGACCAAAATCACAGAAGTAGGTAGAAGTAGAGCCAAGACTAGAGGTCAAGTGCCCTGACTTTAAGTTCTTTCTTTTTTTTCTTGTATCATTCTGACAAGCTGATCAGACTTTGAAGGTGGCAGTCATTAAATAAAAAACAAAACAACCAATATCTTGGATTATTTTTAAGCTACACTATGCAGAAAACATGACTTTCAGAAGGGCTTTCTAAATCAAATCCTTGGAAAACCAAAATAATGAGCCCTTGTTAAAGTCCTGTGGGAAGCCAGAAGACAACAAACTTGAAGTGGCTTCAATATAGGTTTTGTAACAAACATTTAGAACTCAAAGAACTTAGTTTCACTACTATACAGTTCCAGACCTAAATACTGTGAATGAATATCTCTTCTTAGCAGAAAAACTAGGGTGGGCTAGAGTAGCTTGCAAAGCTAACCTATGTTGTAATGGATACAAATTCATGAAGAAATGCTTGGGCACCTCAGTGTTTTCTAATTCCTTACCTGGTGATATATTTACACATTGAATATACCAGTCTTGTCTAGAGAGAAGCAATAACTGAAACTGAGGCCCAGATATTTATACTATGTTAAGTGCATACATATGTCTGTTAAGCATACATATATAAAGAGTCCTAATATTTAACACTTTTTGTAAGTGTCTTTCACTTCAACAAGGGAAGAAAAATACTATAAAGAAATTCAGCAAGTAAATCTCTGGAAGGTCCAACAGGGTACATGATCTTCTTTTATTTGATAAAGATAAAAATAACGGTAACATTTTGCCAGGATCATAATATATTTAACATCTGCTGGTATTTCTGAGCTAATTCATGCTTTTACTCTTTCAGAATGTTTTCTAAAATAGGTAATATTTGTTATGAGAAAAGGGACAGAATTATGACAGAAGAAAATGACAGAATAAATATCTATAGAAAATAAAAAGTTACAATAAGTACAGTGAAAGCTTACTAAGAAAGAAAACTATTTTCAAAGCAGACAGTAACGAGATGTCCAGCAGCCAGTTTTTCTTGATTGTAATGAGAAACACATGACCACTGGCAGAGACTGTCCACGGGGGTGGGCAGACACAGACCGGCATTTACTTTGGACTCAAAGCTACAGTTATGGAGAAATGAGTTGGGTTCAAGAAGGATGGTTCATCTTTGACACCACTTTACTTCTAGACGCTGTGGCACTCTTAGGTCAAAGGGGATCAGAGGAATTGTTTACCCATACCCTTCACTTTATGCTAACAGCACCCTTCATCATTTGGGGTCTGTTCTATTTTTTTTTTTTCTTAAGTTCTTTTATTGGTACATTTTAGGTGTACAATTCGTTTACATTTATCATTGGGTGCTTGTACCTGTACATGATGTATCTTGGTTATTTTTTCCCCATTACCTGTGCGCCCTTCACCTCCACCCTTCCCTATTTACATAGATTTCATTTCCATTTTCTTTTCTTTTCTCATAGTTTTTCCTTTCCCTTCTTTCCTTTTCCCTTCCCCTCCCTTCACACCTACGTTTTTGGACCTTTTTTTCTATTTCAAATTATCAATTATTCATTTTAATCATTTTAACCCTTATTTACACTATCAGTTTCTCACACCAGAGAAACTATTCGGTATTTACACGTGTGTCCTATTTATTTCACTTAAGAGTATGGCCTCGATATGCATCCATTTAACTATAAATGACTAGTTTTCATTCTTTATGGCTGAGTAGTACTCTATTTTATTAAAAAACCACATCTTCCTTATCCAGTTTCCAGCTGATGGGCACTTGGGCTGCTTCCAAGCTTTAGCTATTACAAACTGTGCCTCTATGAACATGGGTGCACATATATTCGCTGGTTCTGTTCTATTTTTAAGAGCACCTATAAAAAAACTGCTCATCCAAGTGAATCTATTCCCCCTGCTTACCAGCCCCAGTGTGTAAGAGCCCTCTAGCTAGCAGTTCTTTCACACTGCAGGACTAACTTCTACGGTTGGGATTTAGGTTTCTGTCCCTTTCCTGTGTCTGGAGGGAATAAGAGATAATTAACCAACATGCTTTTAACTCCTTTCACATATACCTGCAATGCGACTGTGAGAACACTCACTTTCCTGAGACCATAATGGTCAGCTGTCTTACCTTCTCATCTCGGAAGTTCAGGAACTGCTGGAAGACTTCACTCTCTGAGATGACTGGGTGCCGACACATCCTGGTCATCCAGGCCTGAAGTCTCTCCATGCGCATTTTGATAAATTCCTCTTCAAAGCGACCTGTAAAAGACATATCAAGGGTGACACAGCTCTCTTAAAAGTGAATTGCAGTTACGATAGCTGAAAAAACCATTTCTAAGACCACTGGCCACTTGGCACAAAGCTGTTTTATAAAAGGCAAAAAACCATGGTGATTTTTCAGAGCCTTAAACACATGAGATATGCAAAAGTTCGAGAGACACACAGGAAAGATCTGATGGACTCTATTTACCGTTTAAAAATGAAATTTCAGGGTCAGGGATTTAGCTCAGTGGTTCTACCGCCTGCCTCGCAAGCTCAAGGACCCGAGTTTGATCCCCGGCACCACGACCCCGTCCCCCGCCAAAAAGAATGAAATTTCAATTTAACACATTAATAAATTTTTTGAGAAAAGAACAAAAATTTTAAAGTCTTATCTTGGTATGATAAACTATCTCCAGCAAACATCAGACCAGCTCCTAGGCAGTCTCATGAAGTCTATGGGCAACAATCAAATCAGTGCTCTGGAATCAAACCAAAGCCCAAAAGCCACCCAGAAGTGTCTGTACTTGAAAAACTGCTGAACTTGCAGCATTAGAGAAGCATTCTGCGGCTACTCCTATCTCTCCCTGCTTCTGCATGCCTTCCTCCCCTACTGGAGACATGGTAAGATGGAGCAGGCAGTGGGGACTGACAAGCGACTTCCTTGCTGGGATAGGAGGAGGCTCTTTGATACGGAGCAATGGGAGACACCCATGCTCAGTGACAATCTCAGAGATGGATGATGGTGTAAATGGACCAACTAGTCAAGATAGTGGGACCAAGTATATGCAGGCTGAGGCTGTGCACAAACAGTGCAGAATGGACAGGGTTCAAACCAGCCACAAGCTCCTCGCCAACTCTTAGGCTGCACACACATAGAAAGATTTTTAAAAAGGGGCCTAGAAAGCCAGGTACCAAGGCATGTGCCTGTAACCCCAGATACCCGGGAAGCAGAGGCAGGAGGACCACCTGGGCTCAGGAGTTTGGGCCCAGCCTGGCAACACAGTAAGGCCCTATCTTTAAAATAAAATAAAATAAGCCCAAGGGAAAGTAAAAGAAGCCAGAGCTAACTTGAAAAGGCCCTAGCTCTGAATGTACTCACTACCTACACTGTTACACTGACAGAGAACAGAGCCTTAGTGGCTGGATATGACCAAACACCAGCTCTGTCCCATCAATCACAGGCTTCCTATCGATCTATACAGACATAAGAATAAACCTTTGGAAGCCAGACTTAGAAAATAAATACATAAAATTAACTGAGCTGGGAGACAGAGTCCAGAGATTTAGCCTGAGCAAGATACTTAATAAACAGAAACGACTACCACCTACAGCAGAAATAACTACCACCTACAGGGAGGAATAATGAGAATCTGGAGTTGCTAAAATTTATTCTTATTAATGTTCAGTTTTCAACAAAAAAATTAACAGTTCTGCAAAGAAACAGCAAGATATGATCCATACTGAGAAAAATGAGCAGTCAACAGAAACTGTCCTTAAGTATCCCTAGATGAATTTAGCAGACAAAAGCACAGCAGCAGACAAAGCAGCTTCTATAAATATGTTCAAAGAACTAAAGAAAACCATGTTGAAAAAGTTAAAGAAAAATATGAGAAGGAATTAACAGAGACTCTCAAGGAAACAAATTATTTTTAAAAAGAATTTTTGGAGTTGAAAGTACAATAACTGAAATTAAAAATGTTCTGAACAGACTTCAAGAGCAGATTCAGGATGACAGAAGAATCAGTGAATTGAAGACAGATCAATCGAAGTCCAAAATGAAGAACAGGGCGAAAAACTAATGAAAAATAAAGCCCCAGAAATCATCAAGCACAGTGGGATTCCTGGAGGGAGAAGAGGAAAAAGAAGCACAGAAAGTATTTAAAGAAGTAATGGCAAAAAAACCCCAAATTTGATGGAAAACTTTAATTCATCCTTTTAAGAGACTCAACAAACCTCAGCAAACTTTGTATCTGTAGGATAGGGACTTACCTACATCTTGACATAGCAGAACTAAACTGCTGAAAGACAGAAACAAAAAGGAAATCCTGAAAGCAGCAAATATGTTGCTAGCTGTAGGAGGGCAGCAGAATCAACAGCTGACTTATCTGTCAAGATGTAGGCCAGAAGGCAATGAAATGACACACCATGCAGAAAGAATGACTATCAGCCTCGAATCAGATAATAGGACCCCACCCTTCAAAAAAATATAGGGCAGAATAAAGTCACAGATAAAATAATGAGAGACTTGCTGATAGTAGACTTCTACTGCAAGAAATATAAAAGGAACTCCTTCAGGCTAAGAGGAAATTATTAAAGACGGTGATTAGAATCCAGAGGGAGAAAGAGCACTAGAAATATGTAGGTTAATATAAAAGACTTTACAGATTTTTTTCTAATTTGCTCAACTTCCTTGAAGGAGGCAAGACTGAAGAATACAGTAATTTTCACACTGCACTGCTGAATTTACAACCTATTGGTGTGAAAATAATTCCATAAAATGAGGAAGAGGAGTGGAGCTAAACTGGAGAAAGGATCCTGTATTTTATTGGAATTGAGTTAATGTTAATTTAAAGTGTATTGCTGGGCCGGATATTTAGTTCAGTGGTTCCACTGACTGCCTCCCAAGTGCAAGGACCCAAGTTCGATCCCCCGTACCAAAAAAAAAAAGTGCATTGTAATGTTTAAAAAGATGTGTACTTATCCTCTAGAGCAAACCACCAAACAAACATTAAACATTTAGTTTAAGAAATCCTTTGCAATTTTGCATTTCTAGACACCAAGCAACTGCGAGCTAATGATGGCACGTGGAAACCACAGCTGTACTTTCTGCATGGTCCTTCAGCCAACCAAGCCCCTCAGATGAGAGCGCCACCTAGGCCAGCATCTGCCCACCTTTCAGCAGCTGCCCCGCCACCTGCAGTTGGTGTACCTGCTACTGTACCCTGGCAGCCAGGTCTGATGGCTGCAGCTGGCATGGCTACGGGCTCTACTGTGGGGCATATGAGGGGTCATGACATCACTGGGGCTTTAGGAGGGAGTAATGCTGAGGACTCAAAAGCTGACATCACTTACCAGCAACTTTAGGGAACCCAGTGGGTGCAACAGCAGTTTGGTGGCCCTTGCTTTTATGAGATTAAGCCATTTTTGGATGATATTAAACTCTGTGAGGGTTTCACAATGAGGTGCTGAAGCAGTGTAGAACTGCAAGCGTACAATAACTGAAATTAAGACATTTAAAATGAAGAAATGGAAAAGTGGCTCTGACCATTACTTTAGCATGAAAATGTGACTGATAATGAAAATATAAAGTACAAAAACATAAACTAAACCTCTTGTTGTTAACAGCTTCATTGCTTCAAAATGGCAATGGAAGTGGGTGTTAAATAGAAGCTCACTGAAATGGTACAGAATTTGGGGCAAATATTTGTGTGGCTTCCTAAAACCAAGAGTTGTGATGTAATTACTTGTAAGCCAATTAGAATGAAGTGATTTTCTTCCAAAAAATTTAGTTTAAGAAATGATGGTAATTAGAATGGCAACTGACAAATATTTATTTAATATTTTATTAAAGAAAGTCAGACAAAGAGGAACAGAGGAACAAATAAGACATATAGAATAAAACAAAATGGCAAATGTAAAACCAACCATATCAATAATTAAACAGTCCAGATGATATTAGTGGTGAATTTTATCAAATATTTATAGAATGACAATTCTACATTCTCCTTCATTCTCTTCCAGAATATGGAAAAGGAATACTTCCAGACTTATCATCTGATGAGACCAACATTGCCCCATACCAAAATGAGACAAAGTCATTACAAGAAAACTAGAGCAATAATGCTCATGAACACAAACATTCTCAAATATCAGCAATTTGAATATAATTATATATAAAAATAAAAATACATCACAATCAGGTAAGGTTTATCCCAGGAATGGAAGGATGGTTTAGCACTAGAAAGCTGATCAAAGTAATCTAACATATTAACAGAGTAAAGAAGCAAAAGCATGACTGCCTTGAAGGATGCACAAAATACATTTTGTTAAAACTCAGCATCCCTTCATGAAGAAATATTTTCAGCAAACTAGAAACAGAAAGGAAGTTCTTTAATTGGATAAAAGAACAACTACAAAACAAAAATCTACAGTGAGCGTAATACTTAAAATTGTGAAAGGCTAAAAGCTTTCTTCCTAAGACTGGAAACAAGGCAAAGATGTCTGTTCTCACTATTCCTAGACATTATCCTGCAAATCCTAGTCAGTGCAATAATGCAAAACAGAAACAGAAGGTACACAGTTTGGAAAAGATGGATCAAAACTATCTCTATTCCTAGATGACATGACTGTCCACATACAAAAATACCAGAGAATCCACAAAGAAGCTCCTAGAACTAATAAGTGAGTTTAGTAAAGTTACAGACATAAAATTGGTATATAAAAATCAATTTTGTCTCTGTATGTAATAAACAACTGGAAGGTATAAACAAACAGTATCATTTATAATAGGTGCCTTCCCAATGACATTCTCTGATAAAAATCTAACAAAATAAATGCAGAAATCTGTATGGGTAAAACTACAGAGCACTAATGCAAGTCAAATGATATATTTACATTCATGGGTTAAAAGACTAGATGTTAAGATGTGAATGCCCCCCAAATTGATCCACAGAATCAATGCAATTCCAGCAAAATCCTTGCCATGATTATTTACACACATCTATAAACTGACTCAAATTTACATGGACAGGCAAAAGAAAAATACCAAAACAATTGTGAAAAAGAATCAATCCAGAGAATTAGACCACCTGATTTAAAGACTAACCATGAAGTTACACTAATGAAGACAGTGTGATATTGGTAAAAAAGATGGATACGTAAATCAATCAAACAGAAATCAGAAATAAAACCATATAAACAGTCAAGTGATTTTTTTTTACAAAGTGCTAAGGAAATTCAACAGAGAAAGGATGGTCTTTCCAATAGATGATGTTAGACTCTCTGGATATCCAGATGCAAAGGAAAAAAAACCAACAACCTCTAGCACACCTCACACCTCTACAACACCTCACACCTTACACAAAAATCAACTGCAAATACAAAGAAACTGCGAAACTTTTAGGAGAAACTATCATTGAGAACTGAAGTAAAGCAACAAGGTCTAAGCCATAACATCTAACGCACAACACATAAAAGAAAAAATTGATGCATCAGACTTTATTAAAATATAAAACATTTGTTCCACAGATGACACTGTTAAGAGCATGAAAAACAAGCCACAGCTGGAACAAATTATTTGTACATCACATATTGGATAGAGGACTGTTCCAGAACCTATAAAGAATTCTCAAAATTCAGCAACAAAAAACAATCTAACTTAAAAAAATGGGACAAGGATTCAAACAGATATTTCAACAAAGATATATGGATGGCAAATAAGCATATAAAAAGTTCAACACCTCAAGTCAGTAAACAAATGCAAATTAAAACCATAATGAGATATACTATGTATCTATGAGACTGGTTAAATTAAAGAAAAACAGGCACTATCAACTGCAGGTAATGTGGGACCACGGGTACTTCTATATTGCTGTTGAGGTTTCCAGATGATACTGCCACCTTCATAAACATTAAACATACCTACTGACCCAAATGACAACTTACAGTCATACAAAAATCTGGGTACAGCTGGGAGTGATGGTACATACCTATAATTCCAGCTATGTAAGAGGCTGAGGCAGGAGGATCAAAAGTTTGAGGCCAGCCTGGACAACTCAGTGAGGTCATGTTTCAAAAAATAAAAAGGGCTAGGGATGAATCTCAAATGTGTTATTATGCTGCCATTTATTAATCTATTCTAGACATGGTGAACCTATAGGAACAAAGAACTGATCAAGTTTTGCCATAGGTAGAAGTAGAGAAGGCAGCGCCAGGTAATTTTGGGAGATGATAGAACTGTCCCATATCATAAATACAGAGGTAGTTAAAAGATGGTAGCAGAAGTTGTCAAAACTCAGAACTGTAAACCAGAATGAATTTATTACACATAGTTCAAAAATAAATTTTCAAAAAATGCAGCCTGAACTTTCAGAAATTATAAATAAAAATAAGAACAAGTCTTTTAACATGAACTCACATTTCCAATAACTGTTGCCTAAGAAGTAGCACCTGAACAGCACCACAGATCTAGCTATGTCTAGCATGAGAACCCTTCCAGTTCTGCACTTTGTAGGGGCAGAGAGGAGTACTAATGGTGACATGAGTCTCATCCTGGAGGAAGACAGTGACCCACCTTCAGGATGCAAGAGACGCAGCAGGTCCTCATGGCCCTGGGATGCAGTGACTTCCATCATGAGCAAGTGAATTATACCAAGAACATATTATCTAACCAGTGGCCGAAATTTAATGATTTTTATTGAAAATCTGTCCTCGTGAAGATTCTTCTGACACACCTGGTTTGTCTTCCAAACTATGACTTCAGATGTTATTTAATGCTTGGTAGGATTTTCATGTGAGGTTGTAGAGAATTATAAAAGGGGGTAAAAGAACTTTTGGCTTCCATTTTCAACAAAGCTCACTTAGGTTCTAACTAAATATGTGAATATTCTATGCTGGTACCCAGGAATAAAACTGACTATACACACACACACACACACACACACGCACATTTTTTTTGGTACCAGGGATCAAACTCAGGACCTTGTGCTTGTAAGGCATGCGTGGTGCCACTGAGCTAAATCCCCAGCCTTGATTCATTCAATACTATTTCACAAGTATTGACAAGCCCATATTGGGCTGATCTTTTCTTCAGGAGTTCAGTCAGAGGGGAATTTGTACATAATAATGATCTTGTGAGTATCATAGGCCAGAGGCAAATGAGAAGGGTAATGGTGTCACTCTGTGCCTCTCAGTTTCCTCAGCATGTGTCCTAGCCAGTGGATCAAAGCTCAGCTTTCTTTCTTTCTTTTTTCTTTTTTGGTACTGGGGATCGAACTCCGGACCTTGTGCTTGTGAGGCAGCCGGCGGCACCACTGAGCTAAATCCCTGGGCCTCAAAGCTCAGCTTTCTTCAGACTGGGAGATATTGTTTCTCTGTGCCATCCCTGGCTGCATGCCTATACTTTTAAAAAAGGAAAACCTTAATGTGGAAGAACTGTGACTCTATAACGTTTTAAAACAGCACTAAATTATTTGATTCAGAAACAATGTATCAAAGCCTAAAATATATAAGAAAGTCCTATGACCCTGAACTAGCCTACTAACCCATATACTTAAACACTGTGGAGTACCTGCTGTGCTAACAAGTGGGGAAAAGAGAATATAAAATTCAAAGAAACATATTGAAAGTTAAAAATATGAAAAAGTTTGGTATGGTAGCACAGTCCTATAATCCTAGCACTCTGGGAGGCCAAGGCAGGAGAGACTCAAGCCCAGCCTTGGGATCTTATAGTAACTTAGTGAGACCCTGTCTCAAAAAAAAAGAAAAGGAAAGAAAGAAAGGGGGAATGAAGGAAGGGCAGGTGGGCTGGTGATGTAGCTCAGTGTGAAGGCCCTGGGTTCAATCCCTAGTACCACAAAGAAGTCTTGGGTTTTAAAAAGGAAACTATGATTTAAAGCAAGGAGAGAGTATCTGAACTGGGCAGAACAGATTGGAGGTACAGTGACTCTGAGTGGGAAAGAGCTACACACTGACTGCCCTGGCCTTACGCATCAGCCCCAGCCCAATGAGGGATACTCTAGTGTCACCCACAGGGTTGTGTTCCTCTACCTGACAGAGGAGGCTCCACTCTTCATCCGATGACAATTTGAAATTTTTGAAAAGTTTTCTAAAAAATCAAAATCAAAACAACCCCTTTAAAAGAACCAAAATTTTCCTTTCCCCAAAACACTTCAGAGAAAAATAGATATAAAAAAAAGTAAGACCTTAAGAAAAACTTACTTATCATAGGACACTAATTCTAGCTAGATTAGTTGGTTTACATATTCTAACAAAAACAGCAAGCTTCAGGAGCAAACTGAAATTCCCCTTTTAACAAGACAGGAATGTATTTGGTGTTTCCTGATATATAAAGTGAAGATGAAAATGTCTGTCCCAGAGGAGTGAGGAGAAAGCACTCAGGAGATGCTGGGCACACATGAACTCAGCTCATGGGAACCAAGTGCACTGCAGCACTGAGCTAGCTTGATCTGGTGCTGCCACCTGGCTGGTCACCATTTTCCTCAGTCCTGCCCTGAATTACTCAGGGCAGCCCTTGTTGGGAGGATCAAGCCATCCCTGTCTCCCCTAACCTTGGGGAAGAACCTTCCTCTTCCCCCTGCTTGTCTTCCTGCTGGGGCAGATGAGTGTTTCACATCTTCTCAGCCTCTCCCAGGTCTCTGACTGACCATCTAAGCCTTTCTCTCACATTCCATCTGTTCCTTTCCACATTTACTAGTTTCATTTACCTGAACATTTTCTAGCTATCCACTAAAACTCCTTCTAACCATAGGTGGTGAACCTACGGCAGGTGTGCTCTTGTGTTTTTTTTTTTTAAGACAAAAGATGTTAATGTATGAATTGTTTGTGTTTTTTTAAACTAAAACTCAGTATTCAGGTTTAACTGCAGTGTTGGCGCTTTGTGATATACAAGTGGGTTTGGGATTACAGTTTGGGACTCTAAAAGGTTCGCCATCAACCTTTGATAAAACTCAGCTTTGTTACACACATGTATTCTAAGACACACCTGGGTCCTTGAGCACTTACACACCAGATTCCACACTAGTGATGAAATCCAAAGCACAGTGACAGTGTCCCAGCATGGAAACATGTCCTTTCTGAATGAGTATTTACAAGGGACTCTGGAACCATACAAATTCGATTTCCAGACTTTTGAGGGTACAGCAGAGGTGATGAAATGAGATATTTTAAAAACAAGAAAAGGGAGAGGGTAATAATCAATGACAATCCAATAGAAAACTTGTACCTTCCTTCAATAACATTTATAAGCTCTGTGTCTTCTCCATATGATGTTTACCCATTGCTAAGAAAAGGATGTAGCTGGTCTGCATAGCCTGTTCACATACATCATTTGGATCACATATTTTTATTTCATTTTAGGTCATTTGGATAATTTCTATTTTTTCAGGTATCATTTTCCACATTTTAAAAGATGCATATATTCATTTTATAGGAGAAAATACAGACTGCTATAATTCAAGGCACATAAACAAGAGCTCTGATAGCTCTTGTATGTTTTTACCAAACATTCAGGTGGTCGGCCATATTCTATAAACACATAGGATCTGCTCTGGGTCTCTCTTCACAGCTATACTAACTTGTGCACTTATATTAACTTATTGCTTGCTGTTCTAAGGAAAACAGTGCCTTGCTGTTTAGAGGAAAATAACCTGCCACATCTTTTCCCTTGTTACTCCACAGTCAGCATTACACTTACTCACCTGTGACTTGCTTGTCTGGAAGAGAAGGGATCGGAATGGCTGACCCAAACTTAACCAGGAGACGCTCATATAACCAGTCAAAGTGCTTATACCTGTGGTTTACAGATCGATTAGTGTTCTAAAAAATAAAGGAAGGGGATGAAAAGTTACTCGTGCCAACTATAGAAAGTGAAGAAAAAAATGCAAGTTCTAACTAGCAATACCTGTATGGTACGGTAGGTTTGGATAACATGGGCACTTACAGTAGGTGTTAACTGGTATTCAATGTAGCTCTTCAGGCCATACATTTTGGAGCCTTTCCTGGGATCTGCTACCACACAGTCAAATGTTGAGGTAGGATAAACCCACATTGGGCCATAATCTCCGACCTACACAATGTTCCAAGAAAAGTTAATTTTGTAACAGGGAAATATAGTAAATACAAGTAGCATAAATCAACAGATGATTCTTTTCAGAACTGAAAATCCTTTACAGGGTGAATCCTGTTCCTCTTTGAGAAGGTAGTGACCAACCTCTGCTTTCACCAGTTCCCATTTGAAGAACACATTTACTGGGACGACCCCTTCTGTTCTCATGTCGGCAGCTCAGCCCATGAAGAGGAGAAACCAGTTCCCCGTTTAGGAGAGTGTTAGTTAGAACACAGGGTCTCTCCTCTCTTTAGACCACCTGTCTGAAGCTATCTGTGATAAATCTATCACATACTGATGCTTTTGTGAAATAAAAATCTACACATTTGATTTTCAACAATGTAAAATTATCATAAAATGTTCTCAACACTCATTTTTGTACTTTTTCAGGGCAGACTGGTAACTAGCAGTTTTCAAATGGACAATTAGTCTGTGGCAATACTTTGAATAGCATCATTTCAGCTACAGAAATGGCTAAGCTGATATCCACTCTTTTACCAGTGGTAGGGGGTTCAGTCCCCTTAAGAGTGACAGCCAGGCTAGTTTTTTCTTGGGACTCCTTCGGCAGAGGCCTAGTAGTCTGGCTCACTTCCTGTTCCTGGGATTATGAAGGCAGGCCCCATTCTTCCACTGTTCTTTTCTGTCTGTGACTAGGGGCAAAGGTTCAGGAATTCAGGTGAGGCTTACAATTGCACTAGAGTACTGCAGTTTTACCTAGGGGTGGGGGTGACGAAGGCAAAGCAGCTGAGTCCTGTGTGGGAGTATAGAGAACTGATGTGTAAGTTTAAGCCTGTGCATCATTTCTGCTAGCACTGCTAAGTGACAATGGGTCTGCTATTCCAAATCTGGCTGTTTTCATGTTGTTTAAAACTGGTCCAAGTGGCTGCAAAGGACCGTGGATCCTGGGGCTCACACACAGGCTCCTCAGATCACTCCCTGTGTCATCAAGAGTCTGGTGTTGGTTCTGGGTCATTAATTTTAGAATGAATAGAAACGATTATAGATTTCAAAGATCCAGATTGTATGACAGTGGGTCTTATCAAAGAACACATGAAGAACAACAGGAGTGCTTATTATCTTGAGAATGTTATCCTCTTGAATTGGAGTTGAAAAAGAACTGAATTATGCAATCCAGGAACAAGGTGGAAAAAAATCACAAAGTGGTCTGTAAATGAAACACTATTTCTAGGGAAGACATCCATTCAGAGATTCAAAGAGGAATGACAATAGTTTATAAGTTAGATTTGAGTCTTGCAGTTAGAAAAAGTGTGCTAAGAAAGTATAAAGAAAACAAGGAAGACCACACAGACTGGGCTGAGGGAAGATATTTCCTGCAGACTGAGATCTCTGTGTAAGGCCAGCAGTCACAAAGGTAAAAAGGACACCTAGTCCTCATGCTCTCCCCAGGTGGAGAAAGAGAAAGCAGAATACATTTGGCAGTCCAAAGGTCATTAGGTCAAGGTCAAGAAGGTGACTGAAGAACAAGTTTAATAAGGGATGAAGGAGAAGCTCTCCGAGAACAAATGACTGCAGTAATTAGAAGGGGTCAGGATCCAGGAAGCTCTCCTAAAGCTGCAGAGCAGGAACTTGCCAGCACTTTGGGGAATATTCCTTAGTGAAGGACTGAGGGGCAGCTCTGGTTGGCTAGGGCATCCATGCTCATGGGATATACTTCACTAGGGGTGGGGTTACTGTGCCTTCTACGGCTTTCGCTTGGCTTCCTGAAGATTCCTGGCTTCCTTCAGCTTCCTTTCTCATGGAGCAGGCCTGGCCACTGGCTTCACAGCCTCTATCTCCCTAAAGCTCCTGAGACAAGGTAAATCTTATGCTCTGTTCCACTACTGTCATGCCTGTAACAAAGTTCACTTTCAAAATGTCGGGGCAGGGCCATAATCTCTTAATTCTGTGGAGTTTTAAATTTAATGAAAAGAATAATGATACATATGTAATTTCTTAAAAGCCTGGGACAAACAGAAAAAGTTACAATAAATTTTAACTGAACTACTCACAAGATAACTACCCCAAATTTGCTTTGAGGGAGGAGGATAAAAGGGGCTCTTGGTTACAGCTTCTCTCTGGAGGTTTCCAGGATTTCAAACTTTTTAAAGATGTGGGAACAGTAATTAAAGAATGCAATATCATTTCTGCAATTTTATCAATATAGAAGACTAGTATTTCTCATTCTTATTTGTGCCCACAGTGACTACATTCAAGCCTTCCCCTAATAGTGTTAAGTCAGCAGAGACAAAAAATAACTAGTTTTCTCTTCCAGAATTATATTTGGAAATACACAGGTATTGCCTAGATAGAAAATCTATCAGCAATCAAAATATGGGATAAAAAGAGCCTGTGTCATATTATGTAATAATCATTGCTCTAAGATGGATTAAATTTTTAATTGTGTCATACACTCCCAGCCTTTATATGCTAGTTCCTTATCTTGACCTAACAGCTGGTTTGTTGCAAGAAACACTATTACCAACATAAGGAGCTTTCTTTAGCTAATATGCTTGTACTTTGCCAGGACAGAAACCTAAATTATCTGATTTAAGCTTATTAGTTAAGTGTATAAAGCTGGATAAAAAGGATATAAAATATATGTTAAGATAGTTTAGAAAATTATTACAGGAATATGTGTTTGAAATATACACATATCTTGAATATAGTTTGAATGATAAAGAATAGCTAGACAATAACAGGCGTTAATTTATGTTAATTATCTTTAGTACTCCTAAAACACTAACTTATCATCAATCATTTGGGATATTAAATGTGTTTAAAAAGACTGATAATCTTCTTAGCTTTAAGGTATGAGGAAAGACCTTAATTAGAAACAAAGCAAACAAAAATAAAAAACTTACAATGATGGGAATTTTCTCTTTGGGCTTTGCCAGCTGCTTGGCCAACAAATACTGTTCCATTCCAGGTTTTGCAAATCCAGGAAATCTAATCATGAAGATAAATGCTTGTGAGTATTATGACTTTCTTCATAAGAATTGTTACTTCAACACACCGGTTTTAACTTTATTCAGTCTTTGAGATGTACCAGAACTGGAAAGTGTGGTAAATGACACCCAATGTAATTAGATTGTTCAATGGCCAGTTAGTCACTTAATTATGCTTGATCTGTTGAAGAGAACAGTTTGGCTCCAGTAGGTGTGATATTTATGGGTACTCCATTTACTTAACTGGATCTGAAATACTCTATCATGAATGAAGAGGAGACTTGAAAAAGTCTTGCCTCTCCAGTGCCTAGCACCACAATCTGAGTTGGTCACATGAGGCAATAGTCACACTGTGACATCTATGTCCACAAGCAGTTGTGTCATTTTCTTTTAGAACTGCTTTCAAAGCCAGTTGATGACACATGACAAGTTCAAAGATGTCTCCTTAATAAACAGACCCAAAAAGCATAACAGATAGAGTTGGCTACTTGGAGGAATCAAATCCACATCCACATCCAAAGGAAGTTTCTAAAACTAGAGAATTGCCAGAATGCATATCCGTCCAAAGTGCTACTTCTCAGGCTAGGGGTGTAGTTCAGTGGTAGAACACCTGCCTCATGTGCTTGAGGCCCTGGGTTCTATCTCTAGTATTGCAAAAACAAAACCAAAGAGCTACTTCTGAAAAAGAAAAGATTAATTTGGGGTTTAGAATTTTCTTTTAATAAACAGGAAAAAAACTCAGAAAGCAAAACACCTAAAATGGGAAAACCCCAGCGACATTACTTCTTTTCATTCATATACCAAGCCAAAGGCCAATGTGACAGTTTTAGGGCTTTTTCTTTTTCTTTCCTTCTTGAGTGGCTTCTTCCCTGCAGTCTCTCTCTCTAGACACTCTAACACAGTGGGTATAGGAGAGCACAAAGAGAAGCCTCAGGGCTGGCTGGCTCTGGGTTTGAACTGCAACTCAGCACTTATGTGACATTAGTAGTCTCAGCCTCCTTATGTGAAGAGGACCAAGACGACCTACCTTCTAGGTTATTAGGGAATAAAAGGTTCACGTAAAGAGTATAGCACTGCCATGTCCTCACTGCAGCCTCAGGTAGGGCTTTCTCTGAGCTTCTTCAGCATGCTGAGTATATTCTTGCTATTCATTTATCACACTGCACTGTCCCAGACTCTTTATACATTACAATACACTAAAATATAGTTCATATAAAATGAACATGCTAAAAAGCTGTTAATACTTTAGAAATTTTTATAATTGTTCTGAATTTAAATGACTCGTGTCTATAATTTAAATAAAAGTACAACATTTTAAATTGTTCCTAGTACCCAGACAGAAGCCTCAGGGGTACAGGTTCAAATTAGGACTGCTCTAGTTTGGTTTCAACCTGGAAGGTCATTTTAGATCAGAAAGAAGCTTTAATTAATTTACAGATGAGGAAACTGAAGTCTGAAGAGGTCATCAAAGGCACAGAGCACAGTGAAGAGAGAGTCCAGAATGGAGAGTAGGAAACTAGAGTCAGCGTCAAACACACTGGCTGTGAAAACATGGTCATTCATTTTTATGGAGTCTGTGTTTTTTAAATTAGGGCCAAGAGGCAAATTTAAATAGGTTTAAAATATATTTTCATTAAGGCTTAAAGAACAACTAAGAGTAATACACATACATCACTGCTGAGCTCAAATTTGAGTCTAAAAAGATTGAATCATTAATGAATGACTGACGCATGCAACTAACTGATCATGACAATACATAATAGAAGAAACTGGAGGGACAGGTAAAAAAGTGTGCAATCAAAAAAGAGCTTATTTAGTTCCTAATGTAACTCAAACCGACAATGGAGACCCTGCAGGCCTCATTCTGCTAGATCAAGACCTTAATCCTAGAATCTAGATACATGTCAAACACCATGCTTTCAACTGTCTTCCAGACATATAACATTCTTTGATACATACTCTCTGAATCATGGACTTGGATTACTGAGAAAAAGTAATAGTAATTTTAGAAAAGAAACTATTTTAAACAAAACTGCTGGAAGAGGAGTACTTGAAGATTCTCAGTAACATCATACATTAGACAGCTTTCAAGCTACACTGGCATAAAGCAGATTTACCCAGAACTCTGAACCAAATATCCTACAATGCTATATCCATATTCCCTCTTTCCCACAGGCTTTTCTGCTAAGCAGTAAATCTACAGGGACTATACAGAATGTTTTTTTTCTTCATCTAAGAGAAGCATTAAGTGAAAAGAAAGATCTAAGAAACACACAAGGTGTAGAAGCTGACAGCATGTGCCTCGGATACTGAGGCCTAAGAATCCTGACAATACTGGCCACTGTGTGAGCCTCGATGAAACCTCCTTGGGCTTCAGTTTTCCCCAAAGTAAAACAGGGATTACACATAACAAAAAAGGATATGAGGATGAACCCAACCCACTTTGCTCAATCCCTGGAATGCGTGGTTAATAAAACAACAAAATAGTCAACAGTGAGTTGTTATTAATATTATCTTTAGTTTATTATATAAATTATTATATTTTCTTTAGCAATGAACTTTGATATACCATGCAGTTCATAAAGGTAAAAACAATAAAAACTATTTAGCAGATGATTAAATACAATAAATGTTTCATTATTTATTTATTTTTGAGACAGGGTCTTGCTTTGTAATTCAGGCTATCCTTTTTTTTTTTTGGCACTGGGGATCGAACTCAGGTCCTTGTGCTTGCGCAGCAGGCGGTGAAACCACTGAGCTAAATCCCCAGGCCAATTCAGGCTATCCTGAGCTCACTATGTAGCCCAGGCTGGCCTTGAACTTATGGCAATCCTCCTGCCTCAGCCTCCCGAGTGCTGGGATTATAGGCGCACACCACCACACCTGGCAAATGTTTCATTATTAACCCTGTAAAATAAATTTTTAAAAAATCACCTTTCAAGGTAAGATCCAAATTGAAATGGGCAAAACTTACCCAAAATTCAGTACCTCACTGAATAAAGAAAAAGTCAACTGTCTCTTTGTATTTTTTACATATTTCTATACAAAGATACCAGCACCCTCTACTTCTTTTTAAACATACTTGTTAAGTGGCAGCTTCATGGAGGAGGCACCTGGACGACTGTTCCCTCGCTGAACACCTCCTGTTTCAGCGGATTCTGGATCCTTAAAGTAAGGAGAAGAGGACTTGGGGTCATCCCAATCTTCATCCCACTCATCGTCATCACCAGCTGCTAGAGGTGGGAACAGATTATCAGTACAGAAAGACACAATAGAAATGAAATTATTTAATTTCTGATAACTACTGAACTGAGCCAATCAAGTTCTTAAAAAGATAAAAAAAGGATTTAATATAGAAATATACTATGGATATAAGGGATACAGGCTTTGTAGCCAGAGCATTTTAAGGCCTGAACATTGACTATTACAAAGGACAAGTTAGAAACTACTTAAACAGGATAGTCAGGTCAACTAATTTTTGACAAGGGCACCAAGAAGACACAACAGAGAAAGGACAATTTCTTCAATAAATAGTGTTGGGAAAACTGAATATCCAAGTTCAGAAGAATGAAACTGGACCCTGATCTTACACTGTGTACAAAAATCAACTCAAAATGGATTAAAGAACTAAACATAAGATCTGACAGGGTAAAATTCCTAGAGGACAGCATAGGGGAAAAAATCCCCGTCACAGCAAAAGCTCAGTCTACATCAAACTAAAAAGCTTCTGCACAGAAAAGGAAATAATAGATGAAAAAGTAGTTAATGAACTGGGAGGATACATTTGCAAACCATGTCTGGTTAGGGGTTAACATCCAAAATACATAAGGAACTCTCATAGTTCAATAGCAAATAAATATGGTAGACTCCCTTATGCACAGTTCCACTTTCTACAGTTTCAGTCCCCTATGGTTAACAATGGTCCAAAATATTACATGGAAAATTTCAGAAAGAATCAATTCTTAAATTGCCCTGTGCTGAGATGCATGGTGTAATCACACCCCTTACTGCTCCATCTGTTCAAAGAATCATCCCTTTGTCCGGCCTATCCACTCAGTACACACTAACCACCCTTTAGTCAGCAGCCATCTGGGTGATCAGATGGACTGTTGTGGTATCACAGTGCTTGGGTTCAATTTAGTTTACTTAATAATGGCCTCAAAGCACAAGAGTAATGAAGGTGGCAATTCCAATATGCCAAGAGAAGCAGTAAAGTCCTTCCTTTAGGTAAAAAGATGAAAATTCTTCAATTAAGAGATTGCTAAGATGTATGCTAAGAACCAACCTATGCATGAACAGTGAAAAAGGAAAAGGTTATCAATGCACGCTAGTTTTGTTGTTACACCTCACATTACAAAAGCTGGGCTGCAGTGTTAAAGTGCTTAGTTAAGATTAGCCAATAGGTAGAGCCAGGGATTTAGATCAGTGGTGCCGCGCCTGCCTGGCAAGCACAAGGTCCTGAGTTTGATTCCTGGTACCAAAAAAAAAAAAGAAAAAGAACTGGAAGATTAGCCAATAGGTGTATGAAAAAGTGTTCACCATGAGTAATCATCAGAGAAATGCAAATCAAAACCACTATAAGGTGTCACCTCTCACCTGTTCTAATAATGATAATCAAAAAGTTAAGAGGTGAAAAGTGTTGGGAAAGGTGTGGAGAAAAGGAAACCCCTATATGTTTCTACTTGGAATATAAATTGGTACAGCCATTACAGAAAACAGTATGGAGGTTTCTCAAAACACAAAAAAATAGAACTACCTTATGACCCAGTAATTTCTCTTCTGGGTATATAACCTAAGAAAAAAAAAGAAGAAGAAATCACCTCATAGAGATATTTTTTTCCCTATGCTCAATGCAGCATTATTTGTAATAGACAGGCTATGGAATTAACCTACGTGTTTATCAACAGATGAATGGATAAAGAAATTGTAAGAAAAAAATAAAAATATTATTCAGTGTTAAAAAAACATACTGTCTTTTGTGACAACAGGGGTGAACCTAGAAGACATTATGTTGAGTGCAAAAAGCAAGGCATAGAACAAATACTGTGTGACTTCACTAATATGTGGAATCTTTAAAAAGCTGAGCTTACAGAAGCAGAGAAGAATGGTGATTACTGGGGTGGGGAGATGTAGGTCAAAGGGTACAAAGTCGCACTTATAAAAGATGAGTAACTCAAGAGATCTTAAAAAAACTACGAGGACTATCACTAATGATACTGTATTATACACTGGAAATTTGCCACGAGAGATTTTAGGTGTTCTTACCACTACACATACACACAAAGGTGGCCATGTGAGGTGATGGATATGTTAATCGTGACAGTAGTCACTTCGCTATGCATATGTAAATCGTGATACACGGTATAGCTTAAAGCCTGTCAGTCTAAGGTGCTTCATGCTATGACTCCTTGACTGACAATGGACAAGACTGTAATTCATGACTGTATTTAGATCCAGAGAATGGCTAACTACATTTAGATCCAGCTTTGCTACTAGTAAATAAGAGCAACTATGAGCCGATCTTTTGAATAAAATCAGTTAACTCAGATGAGCCAGTGTGATACTGTGATGTAATAAACATGTATATTGTCTCTGCTCTTATTTCCTAGCAAAGAGCTGCTAAAATCCTTGCATTTTCTAATGATGGGGTGCTAAGACTTTTTCTTTTGCCCTATAACAGTTGTTCTTGGTATCTGCAGGGGCCTGATTTCAGAACCCATCACTTTCAGATTCCAAGATCCTTAGATGCTTAAGCTTCTTATACAAAATGGTGCAACATTTGCATGTCACTTATACAATTCTCCTTTATACTTTAAATCATATCTAGATTACTAACAATACCTATGCAATGAAAATGAATGCTATGTAAACAGTTGTTACACTGTATTGTTGAGATAATAATGACAAAAAAAAAGTCTTTACACATTCAGTATAAACGCAATTTTGGGGGGGAATATTCTGAATAAACCTGTGGTTGATTGAACACAGGGTTGGTGAATCTGAGGTTTGGGAACCTGAGGTTGTGGGACTCGGCGCTGCAAAGCTATGGATGAAGAGGACTGAGGGCACTTGCTCTCTGACCCTGGCTCCTGACACAGTCCTAACCCCTTGGTGTTTTAGGTTGAGAGGAATACCTTTTGTTCAAATGAGGAGACGCAGGGCTGGGGATTTAGCTCAGAGGTTTCGCCGCCTGCTATGCAAGCGCAAGGACCCAAGTTCGATCCCCAGTACCAGAAAAAAAAAAAAAAAAAAGAGGAGACTCATAGTGAGTTCCCAGTTGGGGGCTGGCCACCAGAAACACTAAGCCATTATTAAAAGCTTAGAAATTTTCAGCTTCAACCCCACCCTCTGGTAAGAAGAGCAGAGACTGAATTAATCAATGATGCTTACAAGATGAAGCCTCCAAAAAAATCCCTGAGCACTAGGATTCTGAGAGCTCTGAGCTGGGGGGCACACGGAGGTGTGGAGGGTGATGTGTCTGGTGAGCATGGAAGCTCCAACTTCTCCCCCATGCTGTGCCCTCTGCATCTCTTCATCTGTATCCTTTGGTTTATCCCTTGTAATAAACTGGCACCAGTAAGTGCCTTCCTAAGTTCTGTGAGCTGTTCTAGAAAACTAATGGAACCTGAGGAGGGGATCATGAGAAGCCCCTGGCTGACTCAGGCAGACAATGTCAGGACTGAAGTTGTAGGACCCTCAGCAGGCTGTTGCCCACTGGAGAATGGCTTGGTGTATGAGGTTTGGTCACAGAGGTGTTCTCTGTCACACTGAGTACAAGAGTAGCAAAACCAGTTTGGCTTTCCTGTCTCTCATCCAGTTTCCTATCTGTTACTTACAGAAGAAGCCTTGCCTCACCTGGGCCTTGGTAGGCCTGGGGGTGTCCGAAGGCAGTGTCCCAGTTGTTGGCAGTGTTTTTCTGGGCGCCTGCCCCCTCTTGCCGGGCTCCCCAGCCATCTGAGCTCTCCCAGTTCCCAGATTTGGGGGCATTCCAGGCTGACCAGGGGTCACTGCCACCGCTGACCTGTGTGGGGGGAAGAGAGAATATTTGTGACTTCTGGAAACTATGACTCAATTTACCACCATGGCAACTGAGAGCAAGAGGAGTGCTGAAAAAGAAATCAGAAATTCATTAAAAGTAATTTAAAATCTAAATTTCCCCCAGAGCATGGAGAAAAACACAAACAGCAGCATCAATCTGTTTTTACTGACATTAACAAGTAGACCAAGAACAGTGGTACCTTGGTTCACAAAAACTTTTGTTTGCGAACAATTTGGTTTGCAAACAGAAGCGTTGGGCAAAATTTTGTTTTTGTCTGCAAAATGCATCTCAGTTGACAAACATGACTACAGCCATCTTCTCCACACAAACACAAATGTGGCCATCTCTAAAATCGTAGAACAAAGTAAGTTTGTGAACCAAGGTTTCACTGTATTAGGCTCAGCTAGAGTCCTCTAATTTTCCTTCCTAGAATTACTTTTTTGGGCTATTTATTCTCACCCCTGTTTCTACACTTAAATGGCATATGCGCACATTTATGGATTTTAAATCAACCAACAGACATCATACTGAATGTATCTTCACAAGCTGTTTTCTTCACTCCACACTGGATTTTGACATTATAAATGCTGCTGCTGAGAACCTGCTTCATCCACTTTAACTGTTTGGTAGCAATCCATTTTATTTCTAAGTAGGTTTTTATTTTTATTTTAAAAAGTGATACATGTAGAGTAAAAACATTCCAAACGGAATGAAATGATACGCAATTAAGCAACATGACTACCTCCTTAAGATGCCAGTCATTATCTGCAAAACAATTACTACTGTAGAAAGATAAAATCACAAGTTCAGTCATAGATGTAACTGGCTTTTATTTGAGATTCATAAGTCAGGCAGTGTACATCCTACAAAAGAGAATGAGAGTACCCACAGGGCAATGGCAGAACTATGGTTTTGTAAGGTGGGAACAAAATGATAGAACAACAACAACAACAAAAACTGAGAGACAAACATGAGGTTACTTCAGGAAACCTTTTTTTGTAAGGATTAAAGCCCTTTTTTTGGAAAGCATTACTTTTTGTTGTAAAGGGTTAAAAGGAACTTCCTTACTTCCCTTAATTCAGGCAGACTGGAATTTCCTATTTCCAGGAAAAACTGGTCTGTGTTGGGACCTATCTGCTTCCTTAACGTTTCAGTTTGATTATGTGGAATTTAGCATGAACATCTCCATTTTGGGTTGGCCTGGTGTGCTGGGAACTAGTGCAGAAGCTCAGTCCAGAGGAATGACCTCCCATAATTTCTGTTTCACACCACTAACACATTCCTTATATATACTTACTTATATCCCAGACATAGAGACCCTTTTCGTTTTTAACATATGAGTGGACCCAAATTACACTTTCTATTTTGTATTTTTCCCCTTCTCTTGCTAGCACAAAATATTCTTAGTATCAACAGACATGGATACAACATCCTTTTACGTGTATCCACAGCATTTTACTGCATTTATTTCCCACAATTTAACCAGCATACAAATGATGTATATCTTGCTTTCCATGTAATATTGCAGTGTACAACTGTGGACCTCTTCCCATGTATCCAGTGGATCTGTGAAATTTCCAGAAGGAAAATCACTAGACTAAGGCAGATCCATATTTAGAATTGACAGATTTTGTCAAATTGCTTTCCAGAGATTAGTTACATTCCCACATTTCTACTAACTTGCTGAGGGCTTTGAGTTGCGTAAAAGGAGGCTATCATACCCCCAAATTATTTTGAAAATAATTTTCTCCTGTTGCTTCAAGTAATTTTATAATTTACTTAATACTGCCATGGGCTAGCATGGGTTTTTAGCAGCATGTTGATGGAAATCACATGTAAGCCAATTTTAAGGCTAAAATAAAATGAAAGAAACATAAATAGCTAGTCCATAGACAGTAGCCCCAGAAAGGACAGCAAACATGGTTACTCCACACAGTGGAGGCATTTTACTTTTATGGGATCTCAGAAGAGTATCATTAATTATTCACATGGAATTTTTTAAAGGGGAAGAAGGACGCTGGACACTGTGAGATTATTACAATGGTCTTATCCTGTTTGCCCACAGGATGTACATCTTGCTTCCTTATCTTAGGAGTGTATGGGCTTATTCCTTTCATTAACCATTTGCTCTCTTTCCCCCTCTGGCTTCCCCAAAGTATAGCTTCCTACTTGTTTCCTATCAGGCTGCTACTTCACAGTCCTATGAATGCCCTGTCTCGATTATATACCTGGACTCCAGAGGCAGACCATCTAGGTTCACAATCCATCTCTGTAGCGTGCTGTTCAGCCTTCAGGAAGTGATTTAACCTACTTTAAAGTCTGTTAGCTTTCTGCCTCAATATTGTGAAGATAATTTTGGAACAGGCAATATACATGGCATCTTATTTCCACACTACTTTGGAGCCTACTAGATAGAAAAATTATTAATAAAACATTAAAATACAACTTTAGGATAATATCTCTCATCTGTTTATTTTTACCCAAGAACTTTACTACTATCTTCAAAATCACCTTGTTGGGTGTGGCAGCGAATGCCTATAATCTCAGAACCCAAGAGGATGAGGCAGGAAGACTGCCAAGAGTTCAAGGCCAGCCTGGGCTCCATAGGGAATTCAAGTCAGCCCGAACTACCTAGCAAGGTCCTGTCTCAAAAAAACAAAATGAACAAAAACAAGAAAACAAGAAACCTAAAACCATCTAAACTTTAGCATTAGAATGTTCAGTTGAAAAATGTGATTTCCTTTGAGTCACCTTACGTTTACTGATAAAAGTGAGAGCAAAGTGTCTTTTTTCACAATTTCATACTGAAATTTAAAAATATGAAATAGTGAATTTTCCCTTTTATTCATTTTTTTTCTTAAAGTGTTGGTAATTTTAAAATTTTTTATTAGTACATGTTTGCAGTATATAATGATTACACTGATTGTGGGGAGTTGGTACATGGATATAATTAATACATTTTAATTCTTTTTTTACCCTCTTCCCCTCCCTCAATCTTATGGTTCCCTTCCCTAAAACTACCATCTTTAAAAGGTCAATTATCTTCAATATTTTTTTTTGGTACCGGGTATCTTCAATTTTTTTTTTTTTTTTGGTACCGGGGATCGAACTTGGGTCCTTGCGCCTGCGCAGCAAACCACTGAGCTAAATCCCTAGCCCCTATCTTCAATATTTTTGACATGTATTTTGCTATTTACATTTTGGAATTCTCACATAAGAGAAAACATGTGATATTTATGTTTGTGTGTCTGATTTCTTTCACTTAACATTACTGTGTCAAGGCACATCCACTTTCCTACAAATGACTCAAGTCATTTATGGTAAATACAGGAGAACCACATTTTCTTTATCCATTCATCTGTTGAAAGATGACGTAGGCACTTCCAAGATTTAGCTTTATGAGTTATATGGGTAAATATGGGTATCCATGTATCACTATAATATGATGTCTTTAACTCTTTCAGGAAGATATCTAGGTGGGGAATAACTGGGTTGAATGGAATTTCTATCTTTAGTTTTCTAAAGAATCTCCATTCTGATTTCCGTAGTGGTGTTACTGCCAATATGTTTTAAAAACCAAGAAAGTTAAAAGAGAAATTTGCAAAAAAAAATTACCCAAATTGTCTAATATACGACGTACTTCTCTGAAGTTTTTTTTGTTGCTGTTGTTTTTGAGAAAGGGTCTCACTATGCAGTTCAGGCTGGCCTTGAACTCACTATGTAGCCCACGGTGGCCTTGAATTTGCAGTGATCTTCCTGCCTTAGCCTCCTGAGTACTGGGATTGCAGACATGAGCCACCATGCCCAGGTCACTTCTCTGAAGTTTTAGAATGGCCCAGGGGCTGGTCTGTTTTATACCTTACTAACTGATAGGAGGTGGCCAGCTGGCTGCCTCAGGCTAGAGTAACTGATTTCACTCTAATACTCCTACTCTAATAGCTTTAGGGAAAAAATGGAAGTTACTTGTGATTTTACCCTAAGTCAGTATTAACAGCAGAAAGATGTTTCATCCACAAGACCATGGACTTATAAAACATACAGCTCACAGATGACACTCAGCTCTAGAGATGGACTCTCCCAGTCACCTTGGTGGATACCGGACATGACGTGACTACATTGAGGGTCTGACAACCTAGGACAAACTCTTCCTTCCACAGTTTGATTGACACATTCCCGATGGCTTGAACTATCAATAGTACATATATGATTGTACCATCAGTGGTTCAGTACCATCTGGTAGCAAGACATACAAGTTATAGTCCCATCATGAATGTGTTAAGGGACAGAGTTTGAATCAGCAACATGTACTCTCTGTCCTCCAAACTCTTGAGGTTTTTAGAGTAAGAATATCAGAAAGTACAAAAGTTTGGGAGACTGAGATGACAGTAAGTACAGACAATTAATTGATCATCTGGAAGATTCAGCATGATTTCCATAAGCTGAGGACTGTGAGCCAGGATGCCCAGGGTGCCACAGTGAGGAGCAAGTTTCCATGTGGCAGCAGCGAGTACCACACAGGCACTGGAGTGCAGCTCTAGGCCAGCTGCAGAGGAGCAGAGGCCACAGACCTGGACTGGACTGGGATTTCATGCAGTCTGAGCAAACTGGCCAGGAAGGAATTTTATCAAGATGGAAGAAAAATTTGGAGGTGAACTATAGTCATAGCAAGTATCCTCAAAAAAAAAAGTATAATCCATTTAACTGGGCAAAAACAATGCTATTATTCTTTCAAAATCATTTTGTTTAGGGCCAGGGATGTAGCTCAGTGGCACTGCGGCTGCCTGGCAAGCACAAAGTCCTGAGTTAGATCCCTGGTACCAGGAAAGAAATTATTTTGTTTAAACTTATAAGCTTGTAATAAATATCACATTATTTGGTTATATATATGATCTTAGCTGTCTACCCAGATTAAAAATCCTTGTATATTTGTTTCTATTTCTGTACTTTTCCAGAATATTCCCCATCTTCTTTCAGCGTGATAC